GTTACTCTTACTTTTAGCCTTTCATTCATTTACTTAAATATCTCTTTACTTTAAAGAAGGGTACAATAGTAAAACACAATATCACTTATTGGCTTTTCTTAGTTTTTATACTAATCAACTTTTGCAATTCAAATTGAACATAAAGAAAGTAGTCCGTATAATAAATTTGGATATAGGGAGAATGAGTGTTATAAATACTTCCTCCGTCCTCCAATTAAGTTATCACTTTTCTTTTAGGGCAGTTCCTAAATTAAGTTCACACTTCTTTATTTTCTTTATTTGGCAAATTATCTACATCAAAACAGTGTCAAATAGTACAAAACAGTGCTGAACAGTATCAACAGTGTTTGAACAGTGCAAAACAGTGCACTCCACGGTAAATTCAATTTTATTTTCTTAATGCGTGTGAAGTCAAATCGAGAACTTAATTAGGAGACAGATGGAGTGTCCCTAAAAAAGTATCTACGTGGCAATGACCTTTGAAAAAACAAAAATTGTGGCAGCTAGGAACTTTCGTGTGGGTCAGGGTAGGCGCGGGGTCCACAAACGCAAAAGCCATCGCGGAAGTGGATTGCCACACGTGCGCACTCATTGGACGTCGTTTCTCGGTAACCCATCAAAACTAACCAACAATTATTATATTCACACGTCCTCTCATTCTCCGTACGATAGAAAGATATGGATTGTGCAGTCAATGGACCGATATATCCCTATAGCTCAGGGCAACTACTAATCGGTTGATTTGTTTCTCATTTCGGTTGATTTGATTTGATCACATCTACTCTGAACCGGTCTCGTCCGTGTGTACTTAATGATTATCAAGGTCTGTTATGATTTAATCTTGTCTCGTCTTAAACTGAAAACAATTCAAGTAAAAATATCTCAAGAGCGGCTTATGAACTCTATCGATTGAATTGGTTGAAGTACTCTGTCTTATTTTAGTTATTTTTCATATAATTTTCCTTTATTGTATTATTATAAAAATAGATTAAACATAAATTTTTCATAATTTAGCAGATTCAGTCAATGCAGTCACTTCATAACTTTTTCAATTTTCATAGAATCAACCAATTTATTGTCACCGGTAGGCTCTAAGAGTTAGTTTGATAACCTTAGGAGCCTGACTGGTTTCTCTCATTTTCAACTTATCAGCTGACTTTTTATTAAAAAAAAGTTACTTTTGGTTTCACGTGTTCAAATATATAATAATCAAAATAAGTAAGATTATAATTATTTTTGTGGTCGAATTGACCTAAGATATCGAAGCTGATCATTTTAATATTTTTTACGGAGTATATACTTTGATTATTTATTTCACTAATAAAATATGGATTATACTTTAAACATCATAATCTCCGAAGTTATAACGTCCTTAAATTACTTTTCATTTCTCCTTATGTATGTCTCTATAAATTCTATAAATTTTACGTTTCTCACTTGGTAAACAAATTTTTATCAATTTACTCTACTTCCCTTTAGTAATGATGATAATATATTATCAAACAATGTTAAGCAATGTCAAAACAACATGCTCCCTCAATCCCTCTATAATTGTTTCATTTTTTCGTTTTTTGTTGTCTCATTATTATTGTCTCATACTATATTTGGAAAGTAAAAGATAATCATCATGACAAATGTATCCCTACTTTTAATTTGAAATTACTAAATTATCCTTCATATCTTCTTATCTTTCTGACACCACCTGTATATTTTATAGAGTAACACAAGAGTTTTACCGGTGGGCGTAGCTCATCTGGTAGCAAGAGAGTGTCATAGGACCTCTGTAAGTACCGAGGATAGAGTCACACTCTCTATCTGTCAGATTAGAATTATAGTCTAATTTACATCCTCCCAGCGTACCATCCAGTCGAGGGTATGAGGGCCCTCAGCGATGGGGTGTCATCTTTTTTTACAGAGTAATACGAGAGTGCATTTTCTCTCTCACAACCCTCTCTCGATCTCCCATCTCCAGATCGGCACGATTCACTCTCCCTAAATTGATCGTCTCCACCATCCTCTCTCTCCCCATCTCCAGCTCAGCACGATTCACTCTCCCTAAAACCTTTGTCTCAACCCTTAACTTGGAAGATCGGTAGTTGGAGATAGTGAGGACGGGGCCCTAGTAATTGAAGATAGTGAAGATCGAGTCGATTTCATAATTGAAACCGAAGAAACTGACTACAATTCATATGCCGATTCTTCACCGGCTGTCATATGAAAGCTCACATGCAGGAGTACATGAAATAAGCTTTGCTAGAGTAAAAATATGCAACACTAATACATAGGAGGTAAGGGTCAGATTGGTCCTTGAAATTGCATAAAAAGGGTCAAATAAGTCCTTACTTGATGGAGTATATGGGCCTGGACCCCAGGGCCCACACAATCGGAAGAACAGAAGGTACCATGACCGCCTGGTGGGACCCTCGTCGGCCAGATGACCCTCATCGGCCGAGAAGAAGTCTACTCAGAACATGATCCAGAAGCCAAGAAGAGCCGGCGATCTCATCGGCCGGGTCTTCGTCGGCCACGCCCTCATCAGCCACAAATGGCCTCCAGAATAGGACTTTATATCTAATCTTTTCTATGTACTTTGTATCCGGGCCATTAGTGGCCCTATTGTAAATGGGCATCCCAAGCCCAAGACTTGGGAATCCAATCCTAATTTTTCATATAAATACTCCCTCTGGGAGTAGTTGTAAGGGTTCTGAAATTCATTAATACAGAGCAATTATACTACTTCTCTCTCTATCTCTCACTTCTCTCTAGACATATAGTCTATCATTTGGTGCTTTCATTGAGAGCTGAACTCAAGTCTAGTTTACGCATACCAAATTTCAGCTAAAACTTCAATCGAAAAGGCATTCAAATGAATTCTTGAAGGTAACTGCGCTTTTAACTGCGCAGTTATCTTCAAGATTTCATTTGAATGCTTTCCCTATTGAAGTTTTAGCTAAAATTTGGTATGAGTAAACTAGACATAATTAAGAATCTGCTAAAAAAATTTGCATAAAAAAATGCCACTGAAAACCACCCCGAATGGCGACGGCTGGACAGAGCCTCCTATATAAGGACTTATTGGACCCTTTTTATGCAACTTCGAGGACCAATCTGACCCTCCTCTCTAATACATAGTATAGATAATACTGTTGCTTTTTTGCTTTTTGATGAGTCTACTTTATATCTTGATTGCTTTTCACCTTGATTATTTATTTTCTTTATCACAATATTATTTTTTATCTTGATTGACGCTTCACTCTTTATTGTAAAGGGGGTATTACTCAAAGTCAAAGTGGTATTTTAAATAGAGAACAAGGAAGTATATTTTAGAGAATATATTAATAATGAGTAGCGATTTGGATTACAGATTAATAATAATAATGTTATCTCCTTAACATATACCGTTGTTTGGAGCTTCTTTCTAGGGTGGGTTTCCGTCGCTAGGATTTTTTCTTCCATCATCAATTGTGCGGATTTTTTCTTCTTTTGCTTTGGTAAGATGAAGCGAAGGGAAGAGGATGCTTAGCCTCCGGCCACTGAAGGTAATGCAGGGACGGAAGACGGATGTTTGGTCTCCAGCGGCCAAAGGTCGTGGATGAAGCGTGGGGCTAGAGACTGGAACAAATCTTGATTCGTGGTCATACATGATTGGTGGTGACAGAGGAGGCTTGATAGAGAACATGATGAACAAGAGGCAAAGTGAGGACAACTACAATACTGCTGGATCGTCCCCCTCCTGAACCACCACCATGGAGTGCAGGAGAGTCTAGGATTTGGAAGTAACATTTTAATTTTACTGTTTGCTTGCTATTTATTCTTTATGATCAGACTGTTTACTTTTCTGTTGATTACTTTTATTGTTGTGAGACTCTTACATTAGGATGTGGTGATGGGAGAGCTTTTTTAACCGTCGTTGGCTCATTTGCTCATTATAGGATCATGAAGTCATATTGCTTTTTGAAGTTGATTACTCTAAATGTGATTCGAGGGCTGGTGGTTGTCCTTTTACCCGCTATCTGAATATTGTGATATCAATTTAAGCATCTATTTTGATGATAAAAAAATGTTCTCTCCTTTTGAGTTTTGACGTCCGCTTCCACAAATTCATTTCTTATAGAAAATCTTAGTGCCGTGATCTTCAATGAGATTATTGGAGTAAATTTTTCATTGAGTGCTTCTAATTTGAATCTTCAAAATTAAACAAGAACGTTGATTGAAATTTTATGTAAGTAGGATTGTTACCTCCTACCCCATAAATAACTCCTTACTTTGATTTACAGATATATTTAGAACAGATAAAATTTTATTTTATATGTATAATTATAATCAGTTTATGTCAAATCAGGTAAAAAATATGTAAAAAGTATAAATAGTTTTGACATATACTATCCAAAATATTTTTTATGCAGATCATAAGTTCATTCGGGAGTCAGGACATTCAAAAAAAAAACAAAGTGAGAAGTTATTTTGAAGAAAGAAGAAATATAATTTAAATTTTAAATTTTTTCTAAGGTAAAATAGACTTTTAGGAAATGGTACTCTTTGTTACTCGTATATCGGTATATTTTATAGTCTTTGTTTAATTTTTAATGCATTAATAAATAAATTATACTCAAAATAAATGATGAATGTAGTTAAATTAAATATGTATTGTAGTACTCCGATGTACTCCGTATCACTTTATTTGTTCCATTGTTCTTTTTAGGACGTATGAATTTAATTCTCCAATTTCCTATTTTGAAAAGAATTCACTTCAAAAAGTAGCTATATCAAAATCTCTTACTTTTTTAAAAATTCTACAATAATTATTTTAAACCCGTATAATAATAGCAAATGGAGGTAATCTGTGAAAGTTTAGGCGCTTTATCCTCAAGCAAAGTACTCCCTCCGTCCCGGAAAATTAGTCTCACTTTGACTTGGATCGGAGTTTAAGAAAATGGGAATAAAGTGAAAATGTATGATTGTGCTTGAGTAAGAAAAAGTTAAATGAATGTCAGCCACACAAAACTTTCAAAAAAGGGAAATGGGAACAATTTTTTGGGACGACCCAAAAAAGAAAATGAGACTTATTTTATGGGACGGAGGAGTACCATCGAAATCCTTCCGACCCTTTATGGTAAATTCACCCAACATTAGCTTGGAAACAAATCGGCTCAACTTTCCAATTCACATTGTAGAAAATTCACTTCCCCTCCGTCATTGCCGTGTTTGACGTCAAGTCACAGTCTATACATACAATTCCTGTGTATGTATAGAGAGACAAAGAGAGAGGACTGGGTTGGTTTCCATGGCTTTTATATAAACGACGAGGTACCTCTCTCTCTCTCCCAATATACTCATATGCTTATTGTATGGCTTACCTGCTTCTGGTAGGGTCTTCATTTTCCGGCGACAGTTTTATCGACAGAGGAGTGACGTTTGGATGATCAGAGCACCGGCAGCAGTCAAAGTCGGTAGAGTTTTGGCGATTATTGATCGACGGGGAAGAGATTATGAGAGGTGCGGGCCGTGCGGCGAATGAGGATTTGATGAGAAGCGCGAACCACGCACACCACGCACTCGAGACTATCACCGCTGCTGCAACTGCGATCGCTTCGGCCGAGAATCGTGCGTCGCAAGCTTCGGTTCAGGTGATTTTCACGTCCAGTTGAGCCTCTTTGTGTTAACTTTCCCGGTATCGCTCTCGTTTGTTCCGCTAGATAAGCCTCTGGAAATAGATTAGATTTGAGCGTGCTTCAAATACAGTTTTCTCTCTCTCAATATTTGTGCTTTTTTAAATTAAATCTCCTGAAATGATATGTACTTCCCCTGTTTCGTATTTTGCTGCAGAAAACTGTTTAGGAACAATAAATTAAATTCTTCTCTTATACTCCGTACTCCGTAATATTTAATTATTGTTAATAATTTGAACTTTTATATTGAGAAAAACTACCCTGAAAGCACATAAACTGGATTCGAATATTATAAACTATCAAAATCAGGGAACAAAAATGAATTGCCCTGTCCGGGAGGCAGGCAGTATTGTTGCAGTGGTTTTGACAAAAAAACTTTATTCTTGCAGTGTTTCATACGTAGTACTACCTCCGTCCCGCTATGATTGTCTCATTTTACCTTATCGGTCCGTCCCACTAAGATTGTCCCATACCAAATTGGGTAAAGTTTGTGTTGCTCTAAATCATTCTTACTTTATTCTTACTTTATCAATTCAATATCAACCACATAAACCACTTTTTATTAATTTGCGTGTCACTCCCTCTTGTCCCATTGTTAGCGGGGGACGGAGGGAGTACTTTTTTATTTGAAAGAAAGTGTTTCATACTTGTGGCTTATATTTTGAGTTTAACTTCTGAACGGGAGGACGTAGACAGTTCAATCGCTCGTGTCTTTTTTATTAACTGCTAAAAGTTCTTTTGATCATAGAGATAGATGGTTGAATTGTTTAGGGTGGTGAATTTATATATTTGATGCCTAAAGATTGAAACCGTTTTTCTAGAACCACTGATAAATTCTTGAGATAATAGCTAAATTGCTTGTGGAAAATAGACACAGGCCATGTGGGTGTTTGTGTATTCTTGATCTTGGGAGTACGATTTATTTTAGTGATTATAGAGAAACCAGTAATAATAAATGTTGGTAGTGTTTGAAAATAAAAGTGACACTAAAAAGTAAGGGGAAATGTTGGTGATGAAGTAATTTTGCTGTACCATTTGGGCGATTTATTACAGAAGAAACTGAAATACAGTTGTAAGCATATCCTTCCTCACCGTTTTGTTTGGAAATGCTAAAGTTAAGCAATAGTACCAACTAAAAAATAGCAGTCTTTTTAGCCTTTTCAAAGCAATAATGCGCAAAGTGCTTTTCCTAAGAGATGGAAAACTATCTATCTGAAACTTGATATTTGTCTTAACCCTGCTAGTAAATTGTTGCAGGTGATTGGCCATTCCTATATTCAATTAGAGGACGATGATAGAATTAGGGCATTGGAAAACATACAGAATGTTAAATTGACGAGTATTCCAAAATCAAAATCTGAATTTCCTTATCAGTTTTTTTTCTGAGGAATCAGAAGTTTTATTCTTCGTATTCTGCATCCTGCATTCTGCTGGAATTTTGATATAGATTTGCCTTGCCCTTGCAACTTGAGAATTGCAAATTAAAAATGCTTTTCCGAAGTTGGGATTGCCTCCATTACCTTCCTATTCCATTCCCTCAGTTGCTATAGTTTTGAGAGATATACATGAAATGTTTAGGCTGTGTGCCCCACCGTTTCATTTATTTCACCTGAAAGTATGGCAATGGAACACAATGGATGGGAAATGAAATTAGGACTCTCACTTCCTTTTTCCGGGTGCCTACATCATGGAAATGTTGATGACCCAAGAGCATACAGGAACGCACCCTCTTTTTACTTATCTCATTCTGTGGTGTTTGTTTAGGTTGCTCTGGTCATTGCCAGTACACCATGTGTTTAAGTACTTGCATAGTTCTGTTTAGAAATCATATGAGCGCATTCTTCCCTACACACAATGAACACTCTACTCTTGTAATGAGTTGTTTTCTTTTCAGAAAGTATGAACATTCTTGTCTTATTTGGAGTAATAGGTGAAAGTATCCCAACACAAGAACAATATCAACTGTTTGTCTATCTGTAAAGGAGTTGATAGCTTGGTAAAGTTTGGCAAGAAAAGAACATAGTTTTTGCTCTTATGGATCTCTCTGTATTCTGGAGTCTTTGTATTTCCTTAATCATTTTTCTCCTTTGGACTCTTTGAAGTTGAATAATCATATTGTAATTGATAGGAGCTGTTTAATTCTTTATATTTGGAAACAGAGTGCCACACTAGTACTACACTACTACGTATTAGTTTTCAGAACTTCTTTAGTCTCTTACTAAGAGAAAATGTCAACCCCAAGCACTTAATGTTGGTGCTAGAGATGCAGTATTAGATGCATTAAGCCTCATATTTCTAACATATTTTTTTTATAGATGATAAATATTTGGGAATTGGGATATGATAAGGCCAACTCTCTTTATGGTTGTGGTTCTGAGTTTAATAACCTCACTCTCATTTTAATAAGCTTCATTTACTGTCACTTTTACTCTCATTGATGAGGGAAAAGAGAAGATTGATCCAATGTAAAGATGCATGGTTGAGAAAATTTACATTGAAGCCTTTTACTTATATACTTATAACTGACATAGTAAAAGTTTCATTGCTCTTAATAGCTGTCTGCTAATCCATCTGATCTTATGGTTGTGCACTTGTGCAGAAGAGAAGATGGAGATGCTGTTTTAGCATATATTGGTGTTTTGGAATGAAAAAACAGAACAAAAGAATTGGTCATGCAGTCTTTGATCCTGAAACAAGAAGAGTACCTGGAGAAGGTGGTCTGCCTCTACCCGATAACCCAACTCAAACTACAACCACTTTCTCACTCCCTTTTGTTGCACCTCCGTCATCTCCTGTGTCTTTCCTCCACTCAGAGCCTCCCTCTGCTATCCAATCACCAGGTGGCATGATATCATTTTCATCCATGTCTGCGAACATGCTGTTGTACTCCCCTGGTGGACCTGCTTCGATGTTCTCAATGGGGCCATATGCTCATGAACCCCAGCTAGTTTCCCCTCCGGTTTTCTCAACATTCACTACAGAACCTTCCACGGCTCCCTTCACTCCTCCTCCTGAGTTGGTCCACTTGACTACCACACCATCTTCACCTGAGGTTCCTTTTGCTAAGCTTCTTGACCCAAACTTCCAAAACAGTAATATGTTTCCACTTTCACCCCGCGAATTTCATTCATATCAATTACAACCGGGAAGCCCAATCAGCCGTTTGCTTTCTCCTGCCTCGGCAATCTCGGGCTCAGGTACTTCATCCCCTTTCCCTGACCGTGAGTTGTTTTATTCGTTGGGACCCTCATGTCATGATGTCACTCCTCTTCGGAGCTCATATAATAACAGTAGGAGGAATGGGCAGGCGGCTTTGAATCACAGAGTTTCATTTGAGGCGAGCACGGAAGATTCTTTGAGGTGCATGGAGAAAATGTCAAGAATATTGTCCGAGGCTGGATTGTTAGTCTCTATTGAGAACGGACAGGAAAAGGAATCCAATACTAAACTTACAGTCAAGTCTCCAGGGGAAGGAGTGGAAAGAGGTTCTGGAGATGGGAATGATGAAAAGCGGGACGAGATGAACCCATCTATGACTGTAGAGGAATTTAACTTTGATAACGTAAATGAAGAAACAGTAGCAGAAACGCTTAGTGTTGTTGGGTGGGAGAACGAGAAGGGGATCGGGGAGGGTGGGGTTGGACCTTGCCCCCAGAACTGGTCTTTCTTTCCAATGATGATGCAGCACTACAGCAGCCAGGGTAAAAGTTGACTTGGCTATGGAACCACAAAAGTAAGCACAGGGTAGCATTTTGAATGAAGGGGGATGTTTTTGAAGCACTTCCTGACAATGTATGTATATTAGAAGAAGGGATAAGTTGGGAATCATTTTGGATCTAAAAGAAAACGGGTAATAATCACCCCCCTACGTAGGTTATCTTCTCCTACACAGAGGTCTTCTAATCCTGTAAAACGAATAATAGATGGATTAGCAGCGGCAGTCATTAGAATATCCTGTGAACGAACTGTCAATGGACATATCAGTTTTAGGTGAGAAGAAAGCTACGCTCCAATGTCATTTTGTATAATACTATCTATATACGTAGTACTACGAATGATTTATGAGACTAGGCCAGGAAAAACTCTTGTAGAATTATGCAGGATAATAATAAGTCTAATTTCTCCTAACTGTTATTGTCTCTTTCCTTTATGTTCTTATTAAGCACGCTTACAGTGCAGGGTGTCTAATAGGGCATGCAAGGAGGAAGGTTAATCACACAGATATTTTAGATTAAAATGTCAAATAGTCTGCAAATAAGTGTATGCAAGCTATTAGTCATAATGCAATGATGGTAATCATAAAAGTCCTAGTACTCCATAGAAATTTTGATACTCTTTTTAAAGTTTGATAAAAGCAACTAGGAAGTGATCTTGTACCCGATACTATTGGTGAGAAATAAAATAAGTTTGGCATGACAATACAGAAGCTATAAAAGACATCCTGGGTGTGGATACTTAGTAGCTCCATGGTGGTTATATACTTGTATGATCCAAAAAAAGGAGCATTGAGTGCTTGGATATTTATATTCAAAATAATTAAAAAAAATACGGAGTATCAGTGACTATACTACTACTAATAATGATGCACGGTGGGCACGGGTACTGAATCATCGTGACTTACATCCTCCCAAAAATCTTGTGAGATCAGGGTGTGAGGCTCCTGGGGTGGGAGATTCCACCATTTAGAACAATAATAATAATAATGTATTTGAATATCACATATAATGTCCCGTTAAAAAAGGTCTACAAAGAATGTCAAACTATATTTGATAGAATTGAACGCCCATATAACATTGGTCAATCGCCCAGTTGTTTGTTACATGACATGAGTGATGTATTATTGTCATTTTCTGATTTGATCCAACATAACAAAAATCAATTTTCTTTTACGTATGTAATAGCTTGAGAATAAAAATCTAAAAGGGATAAGTGGCACATGTAAAGGATGATAAGATCCGGGATGAAATATATGTTCACTATCTCTCAGGAATATCTGAAAGACAAAATGTGTCTACAAAGGATCCGAATGAGTAAAATCTATCAATCTAAAATTCAATGAATTTTATATTTGTTATTTTAAAAATTTAAATATTATTAATCTTATCAAAATGATAATTTTTTGTACAGAAAAATCATCAAAATATACCAATTAAATTAATAAAAATAAATAAATCAAAATTTATGATGTTTGGGTCTTAGATTGATAGTTTTCAATCATTCAAGTTCTGTAATGGCATACTTTATCTTTCAGGTTCTTTATTGATGGTAAACCTTGTCTTTCAGGTTCAGGATTGATAAAATACTTTAAATAAAATGATAGAGAAAGAATCTAAGATTTAGCACTGAATGTCTCGATCATTAACATTTGCAAATTGCAACCTATGAACATTTACATCATTTTTTTCTCAATGTGCACATCAAGATCTATACTTTCATTTTCATAAATTGACTTAAAATCCTTATTTTGTAGATTGATATTTGTAAATAGATATTTGTAAGCAGAAATCAGAATGAAGTACTCAGTATCAGATACATAATACTCTATACAGTTAATTTTATCATATTCAATTCTAGAGAAGAATATAGAATAAACTCTATTAATTATTTGAGTCGTAATTGTAAATACTAGATATAGTCTTGTCTTTTTTTGTGCTTCCCCTCTTAACGACACGCTATTTTAGGTCTGTAGATCCCTAAAAACATGACATGCACATTATTAATATATTTTCTCTGATAAAAATATGATTAATTGTATTTTTTGGCAAAATACGACTAGTCACTATGCATGAGTAATTGAACAAAAGTCACTATAGTGTATTTTAGAGTGATAAATCATTGGTAGATGATGAGTCACTGAAAAATTATCACTAAATATGTCACTTTCTCGATTTTTTTAAAATAGGTCATATTTTTGTCTTATGAGTTTATTTTAGTAATATTCACGAGAAAAAAAACCATTAAAAGTCGTGCTCTCAACTCTCAAAGTTATGTTGTTTTATTTTGCAGTTCTATCTCATAATATCTTCCGGAATTGACATGGATCAATTTTTTAGGTAAATGGAAAACCGCTTTGAGGTCCCATATACATAACACGCAAACATACGTCTAATGCGACAAAATCGTATACACTTTTTTTTGAAAACATCAAAACTTTCAGACACATAAATAGATATTGAAGTGTTGTTGATAAATAATGGGAAATGAGTTCACAATTAAAATAAAAGGCTGACTGAATACTAGCAGTAAAAATGTCTGATTTCCCAGAAATTAAAAAGGAAAGGTATCTCCTATGAATACCAAATCATAGCAAAACACTCGAACACAGGATTACCATAACCAGAGCTTAGAACCTGAGCTTGGTGAAGAACCAACGGTTTTTCCCACTCTTAAACCTCTCCTCGAATCGTGCCTTGACTTCCTTGGCAGCAGTGACCTTCTTGTCCCGAGATTGCAGACAATCTAGGGTGATGATATCCTTGAGATCCACATCGAGGGTATAACGAGTAGGCATGATGTGGTTGTAATTGACGAGCTTCACGAACACCTTATCTCGCGACTTCTTCGCGCGCTTCTTTTCAGAATCCTTGCGGATAATCATCTCTCAATAATGGTTTTTTCCCATTTTTTCACTAAATGCATTTATTAAGTTACAAAAACATTTTATCTCTAATAAATACATTCACAAATTCACACTCTCTACTTTATTATTCATCCTTAGGCATCACACCCCAAATACCAATCATGAGTCTCTCTATCTTTATTCTTCTATATCATTTTTCTCTTCCTCTATACTATTTTGTGTAATTTTATTTCTTAACCTCTACTTTCAAACAAATCAGAGGTATACCTTAAGTTTTAAAATAAAAAACTCAAGATCATAATTATTTGAAAATGTAATTAAATTGCAAATGGTGTCAATGATATCCTCTATACATAAAGGGATAATTCTCTCCAAATAATGCTTTCCGTCCCATCTTGCACTAAATACATTTATAAGTTATCAAAACAATTCTCTCATAAATACATCCACAACTTCATACTCTTTACTCTCATAAGTATCCCAATAACCCGAGCTTGAATTAAAACAATCATTTCAACATTCGGAAGGCTTCGAAATAGGTTAAATAAGTTTGTTTTAGTGTTTGGGGTAAAAAAATGGCTCCAAAAGATTAAAAAACGGAGCAAAGTTCAAAGTTTGAGAAAAAAAAGTCGAAGTATGAGAAACCCGCTAACTGCACACGGTCCCCACACATCGTGTGCACAACCGTGTGTAGCAAGGCACTCTTTGTCTAGTGCACATGCATGACTTCCCACACAGCGTGTGCACGATCGTGTGCACTAAGGAGCTCCGTATCAGGGTTTACACACAGCGTGTGCATGACCGTGTGCACGTATTTTACAGACCAAAAGCCCTTACTTGACCTCTTAGTATAAATAAATCCCTAATTTCTTGAAAATAATTTGCCGACTTCCTAGACATATTTTCTCAAATTTAACAAATTCAAATCAATCTAAGAAGAAGTTTGGTCCCAAGAAATCACCCCTACGTGAAATTCTTCGGGTAAGTGCGTCTATACCGATTTCTTCCGTTTTCTTCAATTTCTCTCTCCTAAATTATGATCCCAGAACCCTATATATCACTAGGGTAGTGTGTGACCTCTCAATCTAGGATTCGTGCTGAACTAATCAAATTAATTTATTGTGGCCGAAATTGGGTTTTTTGTGCAATAGTTGTTTTGGATTGAAAATTTGTGAAAATTATTTTGTTGTGAATAAAATTATGTTAAGAGCTTCTGTTCGTGTGTTTATATACAAATATATTCTGGACTTGGAGATACCTTAATTTGATTATTTTGATAATAGTATTGAATACTATTTTTGGAGAGGTGGTTTGGATTAAACCCGATATTTGGACAAATTTTAGAGATCTGGATAAATGTAGGGGTCTTGGGGAATGGTCTAGGGCTAATACTATATGGCGTTGATTTTCTTTTGGTTTTTATTTGGTTATCAATATGAATATGTTTGGATGTAATCATCCCCACCACAACCAAAACTGACTTTTTATAGCACTTTATTTGCAACACAATATTTTGTGTTACATATATAGCATATAAGCATTAAATTCAGCAACACTTACTAAGAAATGTTACATATTATCGGAATTATATAAATATGCAACACTTAGACCATTTGTAGTGGTGTAGAATTAGAAGTTCAAAATGTTTAAGTTAAAATTTTGGATTCCTAATTTAGTGTAATGGTAAGTTAAATGGAGATTAAAACTGGGAAAGAGGATGAAAGTGTTAAAATAGAGGGCGAGTTGACATGGGGAAAGAAAATGAAAAAGAAAAGAAAGGGAGAAAGGGACGGCGAACAATGCATTGGATTGAAGTGAGGATGATGTCATCCCTGCGTCATTATAACTCCAATTTTTAAAATTCTTATAATGTTCTATTTGTTCTCCAAGTTTTTCAAAAATTATATAAAAATTCATGAATTTTATATATTTCATATGACACCAATTTACAATATATAAAATTATAAAAAAATCTGAATTTTTAATTGTTGGAGTTTTCTTGAGCCCAAAAAAACACGAAACACAAATTGTCAATTCATGGAGCCTCCACGAATAACTAAATATTTCATAATCGAACTTTACCTGAACTAAGTTCATTTTTTGTTCACAAAAAAAGTTTAAAAATTAATGATATTTATTATTTTACATCGAAATGTGTATTTTTTATTTCATAGTTATTTAGGGAAAAACTTAAAAAAAATGTTACTTATAATAATTTAATTAATTTTGTACTAAACTGACATGTAAAAAAAGATGTCGAGTACTACGTATATTTTATTAACGGTGTTGGAATGTATGAAAATATGAGTCTAAACACTATTTTCTTATGAACATGATCCATTTTCAACATTTTGGTCTCCACCACTACAAATGGCCTTATTACTTACATTTACTCCTCTGTCACTCGTGGATAAATGACACGATTTTTTAGACAAATAGTTAAATAAAGTAATTTGAGTAAAAAATGGAGGAAAGAGATTTTTTTAAAAAAATAAACATATAAACATATAAGCTGGGGAACGGAAATTGTGAGATTTGACATGT